CCAAATTTCAAGTGAAAAAATCAAGACTTTGGTGATCAGTAGAAGAATGCCGAAAATAAAACCTAAAGCCACACAAAGCGACATCGACCAAAACTTAGCCTGGACTAGCAGCGTTTGAAGTATTTCGTCAAACCATGTCATTATTGGACAATCACGCGATTATTTTCAGTGAGCCTGACGGAGTCAAAGTCCCGGTACACAAATGAAAATGAAAGTGCATCGAGAAACAAAAAGCCATTGAAGGATGTGGTCGTTCTTTTGATAAGCAGCATTCTAATCAAATTTGTTGCACTTAATTAGACGTTATACATACACGAGCAGCGAGTACGAGCGAGGCCGGACGTTTTCCAAACAGGAGAGGCCAACGTTGAGCTATATTGGCGGGCGTTAGCACACATAATCGACCGTTCGACCGGTGACCGCTCGAGAAGGCCTTAGGGCAACACGCTTGGCACCGCCTTTCTACATAGCAACAACACCGGAGTGGCTAACCCAATAGCAACAGCAGTGAATGGCCATAGTAACAGACTGACACTCACGGATGGCGGTAAGCTCACACCAAAGCGAAGAGTGGTGGGTGGGTGTATGTAGTACGCGACAGGTGGTGAGAGTTGCAGGAGTCGGACCGGACCTACCACAATGCAACGCGCTACTTTGTTAGGTCTGACGCATAGGCACGCTGACTTGCGTAAGCTGGCGTATGAAATAATCCGCACGAACACAAGTGAGTGCAGTTTCCGGTCTGTTTTGTAGTCATGCCGGGGGTTATTCAGCTACCAATGTCGAAGCCAGAGACGTGCTATTTTACGGAATTTGTGATAACATCGCTGCCACCGTGATAATTTGTTTAGCGTTTTGACAAGTTTTTTTTCTAAACGCTCGTTTTTATTCCTGCCTTTGTGAAGTTTTCCGTTGCTTCTAGGATTTATCCTGCAACGCATTCGATTCGAATTGGGCACAAGAATCCTGAGACATATTGAAAAGAAGATTCCGATGTAGGTCGAAGTGGATGGTCTTGATTTTCAGTGGCCAAACTACAACAACCATGATTCGTAACTCTAACATACATCTAACGAAATTGAGGTGTTATTTCTCAGAAGCACATACAATCTTCACCTCAGTGCCAGCCTGTCAGGCGCTCTCTAAAAATAGCCTAGATTTCAGGCTGTCTTCCGCTGGTGATAACATATGCCGCAGAGCCCGTAACCAATCCGCCGGCAAAAATGGAAAAGACAGTAATTACGCTCGTAGCATGCATGCCCAAGTCCAATATCCAGGTTAGAATGAATACAAATGACGCATCGGCAGATATGTTCGAGAGCTCAGACAAAGGCGATACGTGGTTGCGAAAGAGCAAATGGGTTCAAAAGAAGCTGGATTCAGCAAACCATCGCTTAGTACTACCGTTACATGGTGCGATGAAATATTAGAAGTACACACCTCGGGGCCTGTCAATTTCAAATGCTACAACACGGGAGCGCTGGTACTTCTTCAATCATCCAAGTCGACCTATATAAGAAGGTATAAAAGCAGCACAGCGTTGCCGGTGAAGCTCTCTGTGGCGTCCTACCTGTCTACCGCCGGCAGGGGACGTCGAGCACTGCTCGCAGTCCCGCTGGGAGAGATCCGAAACACGTTCGGACCGCCTGTCACGCCGGCAGACGCGGCCGAGACGGTCCCTAGGTGCTGACTCCGCCGCCGGCGTGTCACCCTCAGACGGTTACATGTATGTAGGAGCAGCTGCGACCACCGGCGACTAGGCGGAAAATCAGCGTGGGCCGTGGGGTGGCAACACAGCAGAGGATCATCGCAGGAGGACAGTGACGTGGCAGAGAGCCTCCGTAGCAGGGCGACGATACGGAAGAGATTGTCTGCATCGATATAAAAGAGCGGGACACAACAGACAATATCCGGACCAGAGCAGCAATACAACAGAAATATATGTAGGTGGACGGTGGTACAGGAGAGAATATGGAAACTGAAATGTCAAAGGATTGAAGACTGGGTCACAAACTAATAACCTTGGGGCCGAGCTATCAACAATATAGTGCAACACGGCGGGACATTAACGGATGTTTGCCTAAAACTAGCATCACTGAAGTGTGCATCCCAAGGTCAGCACTCAGCAGAACGAATATGCATTAGGCATTTCCCAACACCCATGCCTGGCAGTGGCCATGGCATTTACACCCTGATTTTCTCCACTGCCGATGTCGTGTGGCCATTATTTACCTCTGCGACAGCCGGTGACCTCCCGGCGCGGTTAAACCGTCCACCAGCAAGGAGAGCCGGTCCGGCGGCACCTTCGTTCGACACAGGGTTTACATTTGGTCCCGGGAGTGCAGGAGAGGAATGGTGTGGTCATGGGGGACGTCTTTGGTCACCGCCAGACGTCGGGAACACGTGCCACGCTCGCAGACCGAGACCCTGGTGCCCCGTCAGAGAGGCCCGCAGTATGTATTTAGGTAGGTATTTACTGCTGGGAACGTGAAGGCTGTTCACTGTTCAACTTTCTGTGTTCATGACGTACTGCTGCTCTCGACTGCACTGCACTGCACTGCTCTCTGCATTGCCGTGTGTTGCTAAAATGCTGGACCAATCAGAGTTGACGATCAGGGCTTTGGGAGGAGCTGAAAGGAGAACGTGACCAGTGGCGCACTTACAAGCCGTCATGGGATGGTCATCGGTGGCCAAATATGTGCCGGGGTCACGACATTTGACGTTAATTTCGGCAGAAGTACGCAGCGGTAGAAAAGGGACGAGCTATATACACAGCGCAATTGCGCACTGAAAACTACATCCCAATCATTGATTTTGTTATTTTCTGTCGATGCTGTCGCCGCATTATGTCTGGCCGTTCAGAGTTTGGTGGCAAAATAACGTTCGCATGTCACTCGCCAATAAAACTCGTAAAAGATCGAGCGCCATTTTAACAGACAGATACTAACTGCTCACTGAAACCTTAGCCGGGTCGTAGAGCCTATATACAGACGACTCTAGTTTAAGTAGGAGACATTATTCCTTAATTGTAAGCATTAGCTAACTCGGTTCTACTTGGTGACGTTTCGTCAGCTTCATTGATGGCGTAACTTGTGACATTATTTGCCCCAACCATTTCAAGTAACGGCAGTGAATTATGCTGGGATAGATGGCCGACGGACATGTCAGTTATAAACTTAAATGCTAAACGTTTCCATCTAGAATATGTAACTGAATCGCGCAAGTTTCTTTCGTGTGAGACGCGCGCTAGAACAATGTGACAAATGATCACGTTTTCCTTGTCGAACAAGGATGTGTGGCTACGGGAATTCAAAACATCGTCATGCACAAATGCATGCATTAGTGCTAAGGCCTGCAAACTGAACTGCCTAATTTGGTCGCGCAAACAGCTCCGATTGATACACGGTGAAATTTTGCGGGCAATGACCGATTAATGTGTTGTTAAAATGATCACATAAGCGGATGATATAGCCGTTCATACTCACCACCACAACTTAAACGAATATATTTTTATATAACTATAATGTCATTAGTGGCCTACAACACACCGCGAGCCACAACATTGACGTGAACACAAAGACATAGGCGGCGGAACGGGGAGGGCACCGGGGCACCGTGCCCCCTTTGATTTTTACATTTTAACATTAGCCCTATGGGCGTTGCATGGAAAGAATGGGACCAAAAGTCGGCAGTGCCCCCCCCCCCCTTAATTGAGGGTGTTCCGCCGCTACTGCACAAAAATACAAAGCGGCGCGGTTTTCCGATTGATGTTCACAAATGCGACCAAAACGGGTGCATGGGAAGCCCATTCCTGGGGCCGAGAGGAATCTCAATACAATGGAACATCACCCGGGGTGATAATACCAAATATATGTCACTTAGCTTTCGTATCACGACTTCTTTCAATGGATTGACGAGCCTTCCGCGTAACTTGGCGCGGGGATAGGTGATTTTGAGTGCCAGAAGGAAAACATTTCTGGCGCCCTATATCGAATGTCTGATTTGACAGACACACGATGCATCACGAGATCAAATTGAAGACGTGTTTTGTCTGTCGATACTCGATGATATTTTGGTGACAGTAAATCAATTTTAAATAAAGCTACTGAAGTCCGGTGCAGCATACCTTTTTCTCATATAAAGTAACAAGCCACCAAAACACAGCTTCGCAGTGCGGGCCAAAATAACACTAGACCACCCTAATTTTGTAACAAAACGGATCATCTTCGCGCAGTACAGCGCAAGCCAGTGGTGATAAAACAGACATGCATTCTAACGGTGGCAAAATAGACAGCTCCCAGCAAACCGTAACAAACCGTGACACACAGTCTCAGTGACTACACAGTCTCAGCACTGTAGACTGTGTAGTCACAGCACTGTAGTCTAGAGTGCACTGTAGACTGGACAGTGCACAACATTTACAGCCTCTCTGGTGCCCTGGTGCTGGGCCGCGCACCAGACGGCCGGCGGTTGGCCCCACGCTCCACAGTGTTTACATGGTGTCCAGAGGACTGGCCGGCGCCGCCAGTACACGCTAAACGCTGCCAAGGCATGTGGTGCCGTCAGCAGAGACCGTGTTCACAGCTAACACAGAGACGTGTGCAATGTGTACTGTGCAGTGCGATGTGCGGTGTGCAATGCAGGTCGTTGTCTGTCCTGCAGACAGACACAGCGATCACGTGTGGTTACCGATATGCAAAGCAAACATAGATGCTCTATTTGCATATCAATCATCACATATGGATAATACATGGCAAGCGTGCCATGCTGCGCTCAGTGTGTATTATGCCAGCCCGATGTGCGCCACAAATACGCTGTTACCCCGCTGAAACACTACACGTGTACCTACGCGGATACAACCTTGGTTATCGGCGGCGCCGATGGTATCTCGCCTGGCGCTGACGGGAAACTGTCTCTAACGATGGGTCATGGGTGGACGCCCACGTGCGAGGTGACCTCGACGGGCGTACTGGTACGGGCGGGCTGTCAGATGAACTCACCGTAGTGACACCGGGGTGATAGCCGTAGTCTCCTCCGTAGCAACGGACGGTCGTGTCAGAGGTCCTGTCGCCAAGCTGGACTCATTAGTGAAGCACTGCTGATGCTCAGAAGCCCATTCGGGGAAGTGTTGTTCCAATAGCTCAATCAGCGGAGGAAGTCAATCATGCTTCCTCACCGTAAACACAGACTTTCTCGGGTTTCACTTATCAGTATCGTGTTACAACGCTGCCTCCAGCACACCGCTCACAATGTCACGTTAGAGGATGTCCCAGGAGCAATCCGGCGGTGCCTGGATGGCAGACTGTTCCGCTAGACTCCAGAATGACTACACAATACACACATCACTCCCCAATACACACACACACACACCCGACCGCCTCGGGCGCAACTGACGGTCACGCCGGGCCCCAGCGCCGCTCGGCCCGGACAGCTGGCACCACAGACAGCCCACGGAGGCCGACTTTGGCCGGCTCATATTTTGGCGAGGCTGACGCGCGTACTTAAAATCGGTGTGAGTAGCCAGCATTAGTTGGACTTTTGGTGAGAATGGTGGGTGACATGTTCTTTTCAGCAATCACGCAAAGAAATTTTATGAGATATCAAATATGTGTAGGTACTCGTGCACTATATGTTCCGGGAGGGGGGGGGGGTTAAGTCGTGCCGTCTACATTTTACACACTCACAGGCACATGTTTTGGGGCACGACATCTGAAGTGGCTGCCTGTTGATGTCACCAGCTTGGCGGAACTCGTTGTTCAAACAAATCGCCGGTAGGTACACATTTACTGGCCTACTTTATTGGAATGTGTAATGAAAGCAGTCAGACGGTCACTAGCATTACGGGCCCAGCCGTGGCCTGTGGCTTATTTTGATGCTCCCTTCCCTGTCTTTTTTTCTTGTGAATGTCGCATACGTGCAGCGTGCTACGTGCCGCCACTTCTCACACGCATTATTACTTGTACACACCTTCTGTGAATATTCTATCACAATAGATCACCTTAGCTCAGCTCACCAGGTCACCGCAGGCAGGGGGCAAGGGAATTCTTTTTGATCTTATGGGGGCCTAATCCCGCATATGATAGATACGAGTGCAACCGTAGCTCCACTTTATACCCCTAAGGTCACATTAGGTCAAGAGAGGTCACCAAAATCATAGGCGGCGGAACGGGGGAGCACCGGGCACCGTGCCCCCTTTGATTTTGCCATTTTAACATTTGCCCTTTGGGCGTTGCATGGGAAGAATGAGACCAAAAGTCGGCAGTGCCCCCCTTAACCCTCGCCGGACCTATTGGTTTTCTACATACGCGCCGGCCGAGGGGAGGGGGGGCGGGTACGACCCCCCCCCCTCGCCGTTTCGCCCCTGGTGGAGCTAGCGCGTCGCGGAAAAAACGAGCGTGTGCGCCGTTACGAGACGGAGAGATTGGTACCCGATTTTAAGGTCCTAGGTCAACCGGTGACCTCTGAGGTCAGGTCAAGTGCCCCAAGGTACGGTTCAGTTTTTGGTGAATAACTCGCAAAAAACGGCCGCAGAGCGCCGATTTTGGCAGCATCGTGTTCGTCTCGCTCAGGCGCGTCGAATGATATACTTTTTGTCCGGGTCAGGTCAACTTGGGTTGTTGACCTCAGGTCAAGGTCAGGTCAGCACCCCCAGGTCACGAAGTTGGTCGAAAGAGGTCATGTTGCATATCATTCGAGTCGGCAGGTCTTCCTGAGTCCATTGGTGGCTTTCCCGACTCGCTAGCTCAATTTGATCAAGAGTTATTGACGAAAAACTAATATGACCTTGATGACGTCATAAATGACGTCACGCAAGGTCAACATTCAAAAGTGACGCATCTAACCTTGCAAGGAGGGCATCAAATCACGATTCTGTGTGCTTGAGATAGTTGGAGATCGTTCCCGGCGCCAGAATAGCAGTTTTCATTTTTCCCCATTGACTTATAATGGTGAGGTCACGAAAATGACCTGACCTCATATGACCTTTAGGAAAAATCCGAGATATACAAGTTGTGGGACTCATAATAGATACTAGATCCTGCAAGTTTCATTTCCCTGTGACATCTCCTCTGGCAGTGAGGGCGTTGCGAAGTTGCGACATCTGAAGACCGTGCAGAGGTTCACTTATGACGTCATAGGTCAGTGACCTGACCTGACCCAAAAATGCGGTTGTTGTCAAAAGATCCGGCTTGGATCAAAGGTCAGGTATGCCAAGTTTCAGCTCTCTATCGCCAGCGTGTTCGGAGCTATCGCGAAAAACCCTATGGAAGGGGGGCGGCACCCGCCCCCCCCCCCCTCGGCCGGCGAGGGTTAACCCGCGCGGGGCTGGGGTCTCCAGCCGAACGCGCGGGGCTGGGGGGGGGGGGTAAATTTTACCCCCCCCCCCCCGCCCCCTCTGTTATCTCCCGAACTAATGGTCCGATTTGGAAAATTCAAACGCCAATCGAAAGATCTCATCACGACCAGCTAAAAACATGTACTTAATTTAAAGTTTGAGGTCAAGGTCAAGGTCAGGTCAAGGGTACAAATTGCAAGTTCCTACAGTATCGGCCTTGCACCGTAGTTGCCGAAGAATGGAGTCATGGACTAAGACTGATTGCCCAAAACATGTTCTTAGGCTACCAAGACAATATTCGTTACATACAATATCATTCAGAGGTCAATGTCAAGGTCAGGTCAGGTCAGGTCAGGTCACCAAAAACAAAATATAGAAAAGGGCATGTGCGACACATGTTTTATGGGTCATTTTACGTATAGAATTTAATAGGCACACTCAATAAGTGATATGGACCACCTCTGGATGAATCTCAGGTCGAGGTCAGGTCAAGGTCAGGTCAAGTGAGGTCAAATTTTGAAGTTGGTTGTTAAGGCCTAAAAAGGTGTCTATCTGATGCAGTTTTTCACGTCGAATCGAATGGTGCTATTTTAGTTTCCGTACGAGGTCTAGAACTTTCAAAAAAATCATTTTTCAAAATTTTTGTGTGTCGTGACGTCATAAAATTTTGAATAACTCCCACATTTTTTAAACCGATTCTTCTAAAAATTGGTATGTAGGTCCACATAGACCACTTCTCTGACATATGTTCCGGTTTTTTCGATACACTCAAAATTCTGGATTTTATAATTATTTTCCAAAAAAAGTCAGTTTTTTGGAAAAATTTGGGCCAAAATCCATCATTTTTTAAAAACCGGGATGGCCATTTGATAGACAAAGTAGAATTACGCATAATCTTTTTGTTACGTCTTGATTCCTTTAAAAATAAAGATGTTAGCGGCGTTTGAAATTTTGCCGTTTTTGAGGCGAAAATGGCGAACATGACGTCACTAAAACGTCAATTTCTCAAACACTTTCCGACGGATTTCGCTCAAATTTTCAGGGAACGTTGACTGTTGCCTAAGCAAGTGCACGCATTGTGTGCAAGTTATGACCTGCGAATTTGATAGGTCAGGTCACCAGGTCACTTTGAATGACCCAACCTTAACCCTCGCCCTGGCAGGGGGGGGTCGATGCGACCCCCCCCCTAAGGTTTTTCGAAGATAGCGTAAAAACGGCGGCGCGCAGCGCCGCCAAATTTGGCACAGCCTATGGGGCAACCTTTTTACATATGACCTGAAAATTTCAGGTCCGGGTGACCTTGGGTCAGGTCACCAGGTCAGAAAAACCGGTACAAGGTCATGGTCAAATTTCAATTTTCTTTTTGCACCTGTCCAACTCACAGTTTTGCACTGATTTCCTTCAAACTTTCAGGATGTGCTAAGTTCACCGAGTTGTATAACATATAGTTCGGGTTTTTTGAGGTCACTGACCTGAGGTCAGTTAGAGGTCATTACGTCGTAATGTTAAGCCTATGGGAAAATACTAAATTCGGAAAATACTGGAGATATCCGCTTTGTTCTATCACTTTTGTGCTTTGAAACCACAGTACTTAACAGCAGGTCACTTGGTGCTTCTTTGTTTGGTGTACTTATCCATGGGTCAGGTCAAATGAGGTCAACTGAGGTCAAATGACGTTTTTGCTAATAACTTGGCACATAATGACGCTAGAGCTTCGAAAATGGTATCATTGTGTTCCTGGTGATCAGCTGAATCGAATGATATGCAATATGATGCAATTTGGTTAACTTTAACTTAATTCATTAATTTAAGTTTACTTAAAATTTAAGAAAAACTTTAAGTACACTTAAGCAAGCTAAAAAGTATATCAATCGACGCGCCTGGACGTGCTGAGTTCACTGGTGCTTTTCTTTTTGCTCTATCTTAATTAGATCAAAAGTTATAAGCGAAAAACTTTTGACCTGTTTTTAGCGAAATTTTTACATTTATACCCCCCAAAACCCCCCTAAATATTGACCTAGAGCAACCAAATTTGCACAGGGGCGAGAACTCCAGGGGGCCCACCTACCTACCAAATTTGGTGTTTCTAGGTGCCATAGGAGCCAATCGCGAGGGGGGGGGTTCGCATCGACCCCCCCTGCCAGGCCGTGTTATGAAAAATGCCCTGCCAGGGCGAGGGTTAAATCTCTTTTTGGAAAGATGTCACTGTGTCAGAGTCACAGTAAATGATCGATTCGTTTGAAAGTTGCAGGATAGCCATATTGCCTACAATTTGTTTATCTCATGCTCTTCTTTTGAATGAAAACATCCTCAAACATCGGGATACAGGTAAACATGACACAAATTGCACCCGTGATCCCTTTTTATACTCCTAAAGTCATCTCAGATCATGAAACGTCTCCAAATGTTTTCGTTTCCATCGTTTCCATCGTTTCCATTTGGTGTTGTACCTCGGTTGGAGGTTCAACTTTGCTCTAAAGCGAGTTAGCGGGAACGAAAGAGGAAGTTAGTCCGTGCTGTTAGGGGCCCATTCTACTCCATGCAACTCAACTTCCTGGACCCAGAAACAAATTTCGTGCTGGGGCATTCCACGATAGATCGACCAAAGCCGTACACTCTCATATTTTATTTTTTGCTTAAAATTGGTCTAATGGGTTGTGATGGGTTGGGAAGCCAGCTGTAGCAAGGATTTTTTTCTTCGAACAACAGTTTCCGAGATATAGCCTCGGGCAATTCCTTGAGGTCACGCTGCGTTTGGCGGCCTATAACTCAGAAACTGTTGGTTTTCTATGATAAAAACTTAATACAATTCAAATCATCATCAACCAACAAACATTTTGGCTATCTCGGATCTTCATTTTTGAAAATTTTGATCACGTGACCTCTTGACCTGTTTTTCGAAGAGTGACCTTGATATTTTCCACACTGAAAGTTGTAATTTTGTCTGATGACAATTAAAGCTTTATCAATTGTTATTCATATGCGATAATGAAAAAGTGGCTTTCGGCCTGCGTTGACCTCAGGTCAGGTCATTTGTGTGACCTGTCCTTTATAAGTCAGTGGAAGAATTATCGGTTACCACCGAAGCACAT